GTCATTGATATTTTGTCCCAGGGATAATCTTGTAGTCAACGAACTCAATTTCCCATAACCGCTTGGGTGGGGCACGCACGATTACGTTGCAACGCAGAGCTGAGCTAGTCCGGCTACAGAGGCCATATTGAAATCTATGAAGTCGGCTTACACTTTGATGGGACTCCGTCGATTTGGGAGTGTTTAAATCGCTCTCCCACATTTATACCTGTGTAATTTTACCAGACATTTCGCTTAAGTCTCTGCCTGCACTAGAAGGCAAGTTGTCTCGTCTATTTAGCGGAAAAAAATGAGTCCAACTGATGCTAAACGCGGAGCTAAACGCAGGAAGAACAAGCGGGGCGGTGGCAGTAGCTGCAGTAATGTCTGCAACACCAGCAGCGGCAAGGCCGGGGTAGCTCCGGCCTTAGGAACAGCGACACCTGAATCTGTGGTCAGCTTTTTAACATCTGGCAATACAGGCATCGGGAACATGGGTTCCGCCACAGGAATAAACGGAGAGGTAAGAATGTCAGAAACTGGAGTGTTATCAGCTAGTACATCTGATTTGGGCCCAAACTGATGCGAGAAAAGACAGCCAGCTAACACTTAATAGCGTACACATATACGCCTCAACTACATTTAATWGTTGTCATTATTTTCACTAAACATACAGTATTCAAGACAGCTATACATAATAGTGAAACTGGTTTTATTTTACTGACACAGCCGTACACATTAAGCTAATGTTCTTGGCCGAACTGTGGGTCTGCACCATTTATACRCCGCTGTGCGGGGCGCCGAGTAGGCGGGGTTAGTACCTCAGCTCCTGCAGCGTGTTAACCCGGCCCAGGCCGGATGTTTACCTCGGATCTAGCTGTTAAAGCGGCGTACATCCACTTTGGTCATATGGCTAATAAAACATAACAATTGTCTGGATGCCAAGGCCTCCAAATGCCAAAAATCACACCATTTCAGTCGTTTATTTCCTGATTTCGATGTTTTTTCCCCTATTAAAAATATACTTCCCTAGGCGCTTGTCATCACGTCTAACCGGGTCGTACGCCGACAAACATAAGGAACGGATCTTTCGTGACTACCTCGTTAGCCGAAGTTAAAATATCATGTCTGTATTGACAGCAATGTGCATCCCATGAAACATTATTTTAAGATAACACTGATCGTGCAGGTGAGGATTATTTCGGACAAGTCGAGATTATTTAGGTGAATAATTCGGTTCAGCACAGGTGGCTAATAAGCTGCTATTTCTCAGCTAAACATTCATGCTAGCTAATGCTAACAACTTTAGCTCTGTCTGGTCCAGACTGTTTTACACGTTCATCATCCTTTTTATTTGGTGTGAAGGTTTAAAATCGATATGGTTGTGGTGTTTTCTTTATGAAAAAAAAAATAGTCAGTTGACAGCTTTTGTTGTGAAAGATAACTAACAAGTTGTATTAGGTAAACATGATTTAAAACCGACTCACACAGAACCAAACAAGCCATGGAAGGACTGGAGCCTTTACGTGTAGCAGAGCTTATTGACACTGTTTTAGTAATTATTTGTTTAGCTTTAATATTACCAGTTTTCAGAAATGTAACAACCTTTTATCTAGTTCCGCGTGGTAGAGAACTGTGCCCTTCAGTGTGATGCTGTCACATAAGATAATGTGTTTATGGTTATGATACACACACCAACAGCCATCCTGTTGTGTTCACTGGACTTGTTTTATGCAATGTTTCTCTGCTTAAAACTACAAACAGACATGTAAGGACGTTTTTGTGACATTGTCAGAATATATTTTTTGTTAAATTTTGATTTTATATTTCAGAATCAAATGTATTCATTTAAGTTAGTATATACAGCAGATTAAGACATTGTCAATCAGTTGCTATAATTCCTAAGAAAAGGAAACAGCATGACAGGAAACTTCACATGTAGACACCAGTGTCAAGTTGGAAACTGGTTTTGTTTTGGTTTAGACTTAAGGTTGTAACATGACTTCCTTATTACCTTGCCTTATAAGCTTCACTGATATAGTAATTTTAGCTGATGTTTCTATCCTTTATACGTCTGATGACATTATATACACATACAGACAAACTGGCAGACAATCCAACATGTATTTAAAACGAAATAGTTGGTTTAGATTTTTGAATCAGTCTGGGAGTAGACATAAAATATTTTCTGTCAGCTGCAAAAGTGCCATGTTGTGAGCTGAATGTACACAATGCATTGTTTGTGTTCCTCAGGTCAAAGTGAACAACAGTGTTACTCCACAGTTTAAGGAAGGACCAGTGAATGTTGACTTCTCCGGAGTCCTTCAGGTAAATTTACATCAGCTCCATACATACCTAATATTTGTGGCTGATGAGTATTTAAACTAGTTATTTAAAATAGGTGTCAACTTGCAGGGAAGTCTCTGCTTAATTTTTAATCACTTTTGGCTCAACATGCGATGTACACTGTGGCGAACATATTTAAATACAAAGTTGGGGAAGAAATCATACTGGCAAACCATTTTCAAATTAACCTAAGCTTCTTATGTGGCATTAGTAAAGAAAAAATATTGAATAAATATTTTCATTTGAACGATGCATTTGACAGTTTAGATGGCACTTCAAACCTTTGCAGTTTTCCTGTGTACAGATGTGAGTGTGAGGCATGGTAGCTTGGTAGTCAGGGCAGCGATCCTTTAATTTTGAGGCTGCAGGTTCAAATTCAGGTTGTGTCAGGAAAGTCATTCTAGCGTAAAAGTTTTGACAAAATTTTCATGCAAGTTGACTTGCTGTGGTGACCCCTGAAGAAGGGAGCAACTGCAGGAAAGAAGCAAGATGTACAGCATGAGTATATAGATTGGCCCCACCTTTATCATTCACCTGGCTGCAGCTGTTTAGACTCTTGAGGTTATTAATTTGGTTTCACGAAGTTTGTGAACAGTTAAATGTGTGTCTCATGTTAGTAGTTAAGCTTTCATTTTCACTCTCAATTCTGAAACATAATTTTGATTAAAAATCATTTAAATTTAATTTGAAAAAGTATCTTAAAATTACAATGTTAACAAGTTGAGAGCAGAAAGATCAGAATCCTTACTTGTTCATCTAGGTTTTGGTCTGTTAACACAGCTGCTTATACCTGGTGTTCAACAAGTGTTGCAGAAGTTAAATTAGGACCTGAGGAGTGATCTAATTCAGAAAATGTTCATTCTACAAATTGATTTTCAAAAATGGTTAAAATAAGCAAAAAAATTTTTAAAGTCATAGACACAATTTGCTGTTTCATGTTTATTAAGTTTAAATAACTAATACTGTCTTCTGTGTTTTGTGTTTTCCTTTTGCGTATTTATTTTGTTGCTTTATTGAGAAATAATCCAAACCTTATTTTTGACACAATTGTGCACCATTTTTACGTGTGTGTCCCCTTGTTCGCCAACTACAGACTCCGTTCACGTTCGGCCTGAACCAGCGGGCGCCCTACACAGCCGGTGATCGCTGCCTTCTGTGTCGATGCGAGCGTAAGGACTGCGTGGTGCCTTCAGAGGCAGGCATCTTGGGCCAGAACGGTACAACACAGCCCACCAACTCAGCCAATGCCCTCCAGCTGCCTTTGTGGGTATGCTCAGACTGTAGACTCACAGTGGAGAAGGAAGATAGACGTACAACTCTGGAGCAGTCGTTAGGGGTGAGTCAGCTTTATGTGAAGGGATTTGTAATGTTCAGCTGTGATGTGAAAATAACTAAATGTTTGTTTCTGTTGAGAAAATGTTACACTTGTGTTTTTTCCTTCTCTGCTTCGTTACTGCTGCCATTTATCTGCTGTTAAATATGATCAAACTAAATGATAATAATCAGTTATTGGCTTCTGATAATGTTAATGCTTATCTAAATTGTTTATTTCTACTTCCAAAAGAATGGCACTGAGTTCGACTTCAAAAAGCACTAAGCAAATTATGAAGCATACTTAACCAATCTTTGGTGTGTAAAATTGGGAGTTTCTACTTCTAAACGACAGTGAACGCAGCATAATGAGCAAATAATAAAATGCATGCCAGAAGGTGGAGGTGAAGCAGTAGATGGGTACAAAGACGTGGAGGCGTGATTTAATTAATTTGACCTCTGAGCGTGTGACAGCCAGTCATAATAAACACGATCTGTTATCTGGATTAAAATGAATAAGAAAAAGGCAGTGTGTTCAATCTGTTGTTTTGATAACCCACAGAGTCAGGACTTCCTGTTGCACATGCCTGTTGGTAATGGAAACCTGACCCCGGAGGCAGCCACAGTGGACAGACTGACCACCGCTGCGCCAACCTTACCCATGCTCCCTGCTCCGGACCTCACCACACCTCTRTCTTCTGATGCAGTGTGCAGCTGTGAGGCCTGCAACGAGCGGGGGTTAGTAATGACGTTATAAGTCAGGAGGTCATTTATATCAAAAGAAATAACGTCCTTTTTTTAGGTGTGTAAATAAAAATGTGTCTTTATGAAAATGGCAGGGAGATCTCTGCAGAATCAGAGAGAGAGTCGCAGCAGCTGCAGAACCACTGGTCGGAGGTTCGCTATCTGGTGCGTTGCATCTATCGTCAAACTGGAACGTCACTTGCAGATGACCAAGACCAGCCTCTGGAGAAAGACAAAGAGGGCATGAAGGAACTGGTGGACAGGTGTGTTTGTCCACTAGAGGGCTCTCTCTTACGTTGTAAAAGCCTTTCTTGATACAAGGACATCTCAAAAAGGAACCAGTGGCATGAGATAAGGAAAWTAAATTGTTGATATTAGCTAACATTAAAAATATATATATTTAGACTTTTGTTCTGTTTAAAATATTTATTTTTCCTCCTGTAGGCTTTGCGTAAAAGATCCGTATCAGCTCTACCAACGGCTGGAACAGCAGGCTCGAGAATATGTCTTGGAAATGAAGGTGCGGTTATTGAAGCACCTCTCTGCCAGCTCCAAGACTGCAGGAGCACCAGGGACTGTGGCTGCAGCTCAGGGTCCTCCTCAGGCCCACCAGTTCATATCGCTGCTGCTGGAGGAGTACAACGCCCTCTGCCAAGCTGCACGCACCATCAGCCGCTTCCTGCTCACCCTGGTTAGTTTACCTGGTCCACATCACCAACAATTTGTTCACTAGCCCAAGCTTGTGTAGAAAATCTGTTTGACATTTATAAGTCTTCTGTTGTTTACTGTTACTGTTTAAGTGATTATCTACACATTTTCTATTCTTTCCCAGGAAAATGAGCACCTCCAGAAATTTCAGGTGACGTGGGAGCTACACAACAAGCACCTTTTTGAGAATCTGGTTTTCTGTGAACCAATCTTACACAACAGTTTACCAGCGCTAATTGCACAGCTGAGGTATGACAGATTTATTTTCTTTTGAAATTAAATGTCAAAACATATACATTTTTTTGTTAGTTATGCCTTATAATTCTATCACAATTTTCAAATACTGTGAGGCTTTTTTATTGGGAATGGCCATTTTAAGCAAACACTCTTCAAATTTCTTGGTTAATATTTGAATTTTTTTTAGCACTTGCAGCAATTCATGACAATTCATGAAAAACTTACACTGCATGTTATGATTTTCATTTATTCATGCAGGGCTAAACACCAACCTGCTTAAAACTAAAGAAAGCAGTCTTAATGAGCCCTACGCTTAGCTGCTGCTTTATGATTTGGGACTGTTGTCTGTTTTGTGTTTTTGTTTAAAAAAAGACGACTGTGTCTACATGGTTGAGACTTATGGTGAATTAAAGTTTATTTTAACCAAATTCTGCAGCTGAAAAAACCTCAAGGCTTCAAGTGCAGAGATGTGCTGCATACTAATTGATAGTCAAGGATTTTAAAGATTTTAATATTCCTTCATATCACCGGTCCAATGTGGAGAGGGAAGAGCACATATTATGACAGTAAAGCAGAATTAACCTGTGACTATAGTTTGAAGTTTATAATCCTTTTAAAATAAACTACAGTGACAGAAAAAGGCTGGGATGCACTTACTTTTTTTATGTACTTCCTGAGAAGTGGGTGGGCGGTAGGTGTAGTAAAAAGTACACCGAACGGGAAAGCACCATAAAGAAACGACTTGGCGTGTCACTACCAGGTGCTATTGTAAAATAAAAAAAATTAAGAGAGAAGACGACAAAAAAAAAATAACGGTTATGGTTGCATTATTTCACCCATAGACTTTAGAAAAATCACTGCCTATTCCTTTTTTTAATCTCACAGTAGAGTTTATTTAGATTGTTTTTGTTTTGTGGTTTTGTGAAGTACTTGCAGAAACTTCACAATGCTCTTATTTGATTTACATTTAGAATAAACAAATAACTAATAAGTTACTGAAAACAATGTGGGGAAAAGAAAAAAAATCTTAAGTGATATGCAAAAAAAGMTCATTTTGAAAAAGACTGTGTTTTAGTGAGTTTGGAAACAACCTCAGCAAGATTAAACAATGTGACTAGTTTTAAATTAACCAGAATGTTTTTTGGTTTTGTTTTGATGCCTTTTAAAATATCCGATGCTCCCTCAGAGATAAAATAATAATAACTTCCCACATTTCTGTAATGTATTCCAGACATGGTACAGCCTCTCATGATTCATATAATGAAGACATGTACCGGACTCTGTTGGAAAGCTACCAGCTGCTGGAACAGGAGATGGCTTCAGTGGCTGCTGAGTGGCAGGAGTGTGAGAAGAGGATCGATGACTACGTAGATGAACAGGTACGCACACCTAAGATGRAATGATAAAATAAATCAGAAGTACAAATTCAAAACTTTATAAGAACTTTTTTTTTCTTGCAGCTGCTTTTTAAGGTGGAGGGTCAGAGTCTTAACAACCAAAGAACAGAGGCGCACAAATCCTTGGTCAGCAAAAATGTAAGATTTTAAAACTGCCTAAACATTTGTATTTTTATGCAAATTTTCTTTTTGTAAACGTTCATTGCTCTGWTTATCTGCTTATTTTAAGACTTTGAAGACAAAGCAGCGAATGCTGAAAGAGGACTGGGAGTTCTTTAAGCAGAGAAGGTTTATAGAAGAACAGGTATGCTGCAAGTGGACAAGGAAGTCCTGTTAGATTTAAATTTGCATGCCTGTTGTTCAAAACATTTTATTTCATTGTATTTTTTTTAGATACCCAACAATAAAAAGACATCCACTGCAGATAACAATTTTACAGACACTATGAGGATGCTCTCGTCTCGTCTTAATATTCCAGACTGTCCAAACTGTAATTACAGAAGAAGGTAGGTTTGCAGCTATCACTGGTGTCATGGGCAGTGTCTGTTATTCTGTCATCTTAGTGCAATAACAACCAGACAGATGACAAATACTCTGCTAATCTCTCCATAGATGATTTTCTTTTAATGTCAAAACAATTCCTAATCACGGAAAAGGTTTACCTGGATGAGGATGTTTTATAAAAAACCTCATTCTAAATAAGAAATTATTCAGGCTTGAGGAATCGGAAAATGTTGTTTACATACCAAAGTGTTTTCTAGAGTTAAATTTTAATCTAAATTTAAATAGAATATAAAAATCTAATGCAAATATACCCCAACATTTATGAATTATTTTTCCTCCCCAACAGGTTGAAATTTATATTTTAAAATTAGTTCAATCTGTAAAAAAAAAACTCCATCTTGTTTTTAAAGTTAAAGTCTTTTAAATACTTTATAAAAGTTAGAATTTTAAAGGGATCCCTGATTAGTTGTAACATTAGACTTTATTTGATAAACATTTATTTTAATTGTAAAATAAAGACTGTAAAAATACTGTAGGCTGTTTATTTTTTATAACTTTTAAAAATATATTTTAACATGGGCGGAGCCATTTTATTTACACACAAAGCATTCTGGGTAAATGATGACGTGGATAGGTCCTTGGTGTGAGCGAGCTATATCCACCCTGAAGGTTAATCTTGGACAATATCTGATGATCGACTYTTTTAAATGAAACCAGAGAGCGTTGACAGAGAGGAGAAGGTAGAAATGACTCAGCCTGGAACTGAAAATATGGATGGAGGACAACAGAGCTGCTTCATGGAAGAAGAACCTCAGCTTAGCCTGTTAGGCTTTGTGCTAGCGCTGACACTATATTGCCTTATATGTATTAGCTCGGTGCTAGCGCGACAAGCTAAACTGAGGTCCTCCATCCATATTTTCAGTTGCAGGCTGAGTCATTTTTGTGTTCCCCTCTCTGTCATGTGGATGGAGGACCTCAGTGACGAGAGGAGAATGTGTAGCGCTGAGCTAATACATATATATGGCAATAGCGGCGGTGCTAAAGCTAACAGGCTATGCTGAGGTTCTTCATGCAGCTCTGTTGTCCTCCATCCACATTTTCAGTTACAGGCTGAGTCATTTCTACCTTCTCCTCTCTGTCAACGCTCTCTGGTTTCATTTAAAAGAGACAATCGTCAGATATTGTCCAAGATTAACCTTCAGGGTGGATATAGCTCGCTAGCAGCCTCGCACCGAGGACCTATCCACGTCATCATTTACCCAGAATGCTTTGTGTGTAAATAAAATGGCCCCATCCGTGTAACATATTTTTAAACTTTTACTTTAAAAATGATAAAAAACTGAACAGCCTACAGTATTTTTGCAGTCTTTATTTTACAGTTAAAATAGATGTTTATTAAATAAAGTCTAATGTTACAACTAATCAGGGATCCCTTTAAGAATTTTATTTATTTTTGAAACATTTGTATCTTTATTTGATAAGAAACGTTTTCCCCCATCAGGTGCACATGTGACGACTGCAGTCTGTCCCACATTCTAACATGTGGCATCATGGACTCTCCCATTGCTGAGGACCTCCACATAAAGCTGCCCTTGCAAGGGGAGCCACCCCGGGACTACCTGCCTGAGGTGCACCCTCCCAGTCTGTCCTCAGGTAGTTCAGCTTCGGGTTCAAACTCCAGTTCTCCCATCACAATCCAGCAGCATCCAAGGCTCATCCTGCCTGAAGGGGAAGTCAACACTTTGTAAGTCAGCCAATCACTCTTCCTTTAGGTACCTGGTACTGTGTGCACACATTCTACAATGTATCATCAACTCAATTTTATGTGGAAGTATTAAATGTTTTCTTTAACGATCACATTTCTCCTCTGATAGCATCAGTGATGATGACGAAGTGCCTCCGTTGTCCAGTAAATTTGAGAACATTTACCCCTTGAACCGTTATGAGGACAACAGCGTTGTGACGTCTGCTGTGAACGGACTTCATAACAACCTCAACGGGAAGGGTGGAAATATGACGCTGAAGGGAGGGGTGAGTTATTGGCTTAAGAAAATTGCCCAAAGATTAGTTGTGAATTTCCCCCTTAGAGTTTCTAGATTATGAAACTGATGCACATGAGTTAATGGGTAACTGGTAGTCAGGGAAATGCATTGCTCTCTACCTGTTTCCTAATTCTGTCTTTTCTGTTTTTTGTTCTACTTTTGTTCTGGCTCAGTCTCCTCACATTACCAGCAGCAGTAGTTCGTCAGAGGGTGACGAAGAGGAAASTAATGGCGAGGCCAGCGGGGAGCCCCCTGGGAAACAGGAAAAGCTTTCCTCAGGAAAGACCAACAGTCCTCCACCCTCTTATAACCACCAGCAGGTACTAGAAAACTTGGAGTAAGGTTTCCTTGGCCTTCCTGTGATCTCAGAGTAATTTAAAGATTAGTTCAGATATTTTGAGGTGGAACTCTGAGTAAAAGTTATGAACAAACATTATCTTGCCTGTTCTAAATGTCTCTTTAAATGACCTCACTTTGAGGAAATAGTTTAATTCAGACCAAATTGTTTAAAAAGCTTCATTCTCATTTATTTATTTACCGGTATTTATTGTTTATACAAACACATTTTTAAATCATTGCTTTCAGATTCCCATTACACTGTTTCATAGAAATCTGTGGTAATTTACAAATAGTGGTAGCAACAGTTAGCTGTGGAGTTGTATATAATTACAATTCTGCTGAAATAACTATTTAGTGTGAAATTAACTTTGGTGTTTTTAAAGCTTTGTTTGCTATAAAATGTATAAAATTGATGTATTAACACAGCAGCAGTCCACTATGGTCTTGACCTGCTCAAACTAGCTGTTAGCATATCAGTCTGGTTAGAATTTACCTTTATTTCTCCAGAATTAGGTTTTGTCACAGAGCTGTCGACAACATGTGATGCTAATTGTTTTCAAATGTTCACAGAACCCCACTTCAAAAACATTGAACTATCCCTTTATTTTTGTCATCTTCCCTGTTGAATGTGGTCGTCAAAGCAAGTCTTTGTGTTTACGTGGATAAATGTTCATATTTATTTCAAAAAAGATAAAACTCTCAAATCTGAAAATGTGAAGAGGGAAATATAATCTTACACTGTATGAGCAAGTTAAACAAAATTGTCAATAACCAAGTTGTTTGTCTTGGAATAAACCTTCAGGTAGGACAGGTCCAGCATGCCTGCGAGTGCCATGTGTGCAACCAGGACCCCGGCTCCTCCACCCCGAGCCCTGCCACATGTCTGCCCCCCAGTGGGCTTCATGCCCTGCCTCCCCCAGCTGTCGGACACCAGTTCTTCACAGACACCAAGGCTCCCCCCGCACACCCTGCCTTTCACTTGTACCCACACATTCACGGCCACCTGCCCTTACACAACTTCTCCCGTCCCCTGCTCCACCCAACACTCTACCCACCCAGCCCCCCTCTCACACACAACAAGGTGAGGAGGATTATTTGATTTGTGGTCATTTGTAAACGATTTTCTTCTTATATAAAATGTTAGCTACCAGGAGTTACTTTAAGTGGAGTTAATTTACTTATCAGTGGGGATTTTTATTATGTTCCAGGAACAAACTTTCAGCTTAGTTGTATTCTAGTTTCACTTACTGTCATTGTAAGTTATTTGTCTGCCACAAGGGGACAGCCTGAACTTCATTTTGGAAAACCCAAAGGCAAATCAAATTTGTTACTCAGACCTGTTATTGTAATCCCTTAATTTCTTTCCCTTCAGCCTCTGTCCCCAAACCCTACATCAAACCACTCAGCAGCCAAGCAGCCAGCTCTCAGCTCATCACTACCTGATCATGTATACCAGAACTGCTGTGGCGGTACGAGTGCAGCAGGTGACTGTAATAGCTCACTGCAGTGCCTCTCTCTGAAGTTTGAAAATCTGTGGGATGCTGTTGTGATGAAGAGCTGGAATTCCTCTGTGTTGTTGCCCGAATGCCTTCCAGGTGAGCCACCTGGCTACAGCAGAAGAGAAGAATTACCTCAGTATGTCAGCACCGGTTTGAATAATCAATTCCCTTATTTATGTAACAATCCACAGGTGACATGCTTGGACCACCCCTCCCTGATGTTCCCCTGCCCCCAGCATCCTCCTCTGGCCCCCAGTTGGAGCACACCTCACTGTCCATGCCTCTGTCCACCTCCACCTCCTCCTCCTCATCGCTGTCATCCTCTTTATCATCGTCGTCRTCATCCTGCTCCTCTTCAGAAGCCAAAGAGCCGATGAAGACAGGCGCCAAGAAAAAGTGTCTCTACAATTTTCAGGATGCCTTCTTAGAGACCAACCGTGTAGTGATGGCCACCTCTGCTGCCACATCGTCCGTGTCCTGCACTGCCACCACTGTCCAGTCAAGTAATAACCCACCCATCCACCTCGCTTCTAAAAGACCCAACTCCATAGGTAATATAGGAAGTAGAAGTAGTGGTTAGGTTAGTACTGAAACTGAAGCTTTTTAATTTATTTTTGGCCACTTGTGCAGTTTGTGCTCATATAGTTGCTTTATATTTTTTTTTATTTTTTTGAGAAAAAAAAACAATTCAAACTCTTAAAAAGAGTGACTTGTATACCTAAAGGACAGAATTGTGAGCTAATAGTTAAAGTCTTTTATAATAGTTAAATAAAAAGTTAGTGAACCTTCATTAATCTGTTATTTAAAAGTTTGACACCTAAACACTTTTTAGGTTTTATTTTCAATTATCTTTTAAAAATTATTATTTTTGTTTAGCTTTTCTTTTTTTTTCTCAAATATAAACGTAATTCTGTCAATTTTATTCAATCCAATTTTTTAAATCCTAATTACAAACCAGTGAAGTGATGCCAAGATCTTAAATATAGATACTAAACGTTCTGTGAAAGATTGGGCTCTTTAAATTTTAAGTCTGAGTATAACACAATCAGACATGCATTTATTTTTGCTACACACTCTTTAGAATATTAAAGTGTAATTCTGCATTTTTTTTCTCTCTAGATGATGTATTTCACAGTTTAGGTAAAGAGGACCACAGACAGCCCACTTCAGTCGCCCCTAGAAACAGTTCCACAGGGCTGACTTCTCTCCCTTTGCTCTCGAGCCCCGCTCTACCACCTGCACCCACCTCACACCTCCCCATCATGGGTTCGCAGCCCTTTCCAAAGATGGCCWCTCAGGCCCCAGACTTTGTGGAGACCCACCAGGGTCTGTGCCTCCCACCTCCAGAACCTCCTGCCCTTTCGACGGATGGTCCTGCCAGCGCACCACCGAGTGTCTGCAGGTACTTTTACTAACTTGTTCATATTTATCAGGAGCATGGATTTTTTTTTTGTTGCTTTGTTGTGATGCAGAATCAGAATACTTTATTGATCGCCAGGGAAATTACAGTTATCATAGCTAAAACCATTCAAGTAAATAATTAGAGAATAAAAGATAAGCACTCTAGAATAAAATAAAAGTATGGAGAAAAACAAAATAAACACACTTATGCTAAGGGATATCATACATGTTTGTGTAAAGTATCCTAGATAAGATGGAATAAAGTGGCAGATGACCTAAGGTTTCACATGTTTAGGGATGAGTTATAGAGTTTGATGGCCACTGATGAGAACAACCTCCTGTGGTGCTCAGTGGTGCATTTTGGTGGAATGAGTCTTGCACTGACTTAGAGGAATTAAAATGTTCAGAATTTAAAGCTGTTATTAAAAAGAGTTGATTTAAAACATGAATTTTTTTGTTTTTGTCAGTGACCCTGACTGTGAGGGCCATCGCTGTGAAGGAAACGGGTCGTATGAGCCGCAGCCTTACGATGGAGAGGAGAGTCAAGATGAGGACAGCTGCTCCGAGCAYAGCTCCTCCACTTCTACTTCAACCAACCAGAAGGAAGGAAAATACTGTGATTGCTGCTACTGCGAGTTCTTTGGACACGGAGGGGTAAAGCTACAGATATAGTCATGTCAGATTTTGAATGTTTTCAACAAAAAGTAGTTAACTAAATCTTAGATTTTCTTTTTGATATTTTGATTTTGTTTATAATTAAAACAGATGTAAGCACGGAGTTTCCTTTTAAGTAATAACTAATGTGTTAACTCAGTGTTGCTGACAGTCTGTTTTATTTTCAGCCACCAGCTGCTCCGACCAGTCGTAATTACGCAGAGATGCGGGAGAAGCTACGCTTGCGTTTGACGAAGCGCAAGGAGGAACAACCGAAGCGTGAGGAGCAGCAACCAGTGATCGAAAGAGATGTAGGGGTGGAGGACCACAGGAGGGTGGAGGATCTCTTACAGTTTATCAACAGTGCTGACAATAAACCTTCTACCAGTTCCAAGGCAGCCAAACGAGCCAGGCACAAACAAAAGAAGGTAACTAATCAGATTGGAGAGCTTTTTGAAACTGTCAGATGAATCAAAAGTACAGTGAGACTCTTGGTACATTGCAGAATTTTTTTGTTGTCACTACTGTTTGTGGATGAATCTTTGTTTCAGGTGGAGGAGAAGGCCCGTTTAGAGGCTGAGGCCCGTGAAAGAGAGGAGCAACAGTTGTTAGAAGAGCAACAACGACGACGGCGACAGGAAGAGGAAGAGGCACTTCAAAAGGAACTGCTACGGCTGCAGGAGCTGCAGCACCAGCAGCATCGTGTTGCCAAGAAGAAAAAGAAGGAGAAAGCAAAGGAAAACACTGCTCCTCCTCAAAATAACCCACAACCTCTCAGACAGTCAGCCCAGAACGTCTTAGATAACCTTCAGAATGGAAAGTCACAGCTGCTTCAAACACTTCTTCACCTCCCAGACCACAKGGAGCCCAAACTCGAGTCCTTGCCCCAACCCAACTCACAGCACAGCTCAAAATGCACTGCTRCAAAGGGTGTTTCTAACGAGACCAACATCCCCAGCACCACAGCTTCCCTCCACAATGGGACATCTTCTGTTGAAGTCAACAGCAAAGCTAAAGCCAAGCAGACAGGAAAGGGGGTTACTCCTGAGTCTGCTGTAAAAATAGTCCAAGAATTGGCTAAAGGTCCTGGAACGACAAAGACTGCTAATGGCATCGCTCCCACCACTACAACAGATACCAAAGCTATGCGATTCGGACCTGCTGAGACCCCAGCTTTGCCCCCAACCACGGAAGCGTGTAGGGAGGAGAGGAGTAATACCAAGTGTAGCGGTGGGAAAAGGCAGCAGCAACCCCTTACCCAAATAAAAGAAGACAGGATAAGTCCCCCTGTGTCGAACCCTTCTCCCTCTCCCCCTCCAGCCTCTCAGACTGAGACCCAGCAGAACGGCAAACCCCCCAGTGCAGAGTCACCTCAGCCCAAAGGCAAGACTAAGAAGAGCAAGAAGAAGAAGGGGGACAAGATGAACACATCTATAGGTTGGTATCCTAAACATTGAGTTAGAAATATGACAGCACTGATATGGTAGAAAGATATGGTACATTAAGAACTTTTGACATAAATGGACTTATCAGTCACAGTGTAAAAGCACCGAACTAAATTCAAGCTTTACTGGCTGACATGAAATCTGTAAATCTATTGTTTTTCTGTAGGAAAGCCACAGTGTGGTTAGTGATTATTCATGCTGTGCAGACTGCTGTTCTCATTTACTGTATATTGATTATCAGTAGGGATATTATTAGGCATCTGGAGTAGAATAAAATACAATTTATTTCACATTTGACAATTCAAGTGACACAGAAGACTGACAAACATGTAGAAACATCAAACTAAATGGTAACTATTTAACTAAATATATTTGATATTATTCTTTTAGATGATGTGTTCTTGCCCAAAGACATTGACCTAGATAGCACTGAAATGGATGAGACTGAGAGGGAGGTGGAGTATTTCAAACGGTACGTATGTGAAGGTAACCTGACCAAATGCTGGTCAAATAAGAAAAATGCTTCCTCTTTGTTGACTGTAAATGTTATGATTGTCTGGGAAGTTCTCTCCAATAGACCATTACTGCTCTGACAGTACTTTTATCAGCTGTCACATCAGTCTCAGAGTATGGAGAAAAGGGCAAGGCTATGTATAGCTAAACGAGTACATATTGATTTTTTTTTCCCAAGCTTGTAAAACAAATGTCTCATAAATGAAATACCAATGGTGACGAATTACAAAAACACCAACAAATGACTGAAAATGTAGATGGAGAATATAGTTACAATTATTGCTTAACAGAGTGTTTTAAAATTATAAAAATGTAATTTCAAAAGACACCATTACTATTCATTTCTTATGATTACTCTTTATTAACTTTTTTCATTTATTATTTCTTAGACATTTTCACAATCCAGCAAATCAAAGTAAAAAAAGGCAAACCCTCACTAAAAATCCAATAATTTTGACATTCAAATAAATACAGAAAAAGATAATTAAAGTTGATTATTTGTTGCAGTTTCCACACCAAAATCAAAGGTTACTGAAAAATTCAAACTTTATTATCTTGGCTCCAAAGCTGGCCAGCTGTCAGAAAAATGCACTAAATACAGTACAATAGCAAAAAGAGAAAACAAAAAAACTTTTAAATTGAAAGTATTATATTTTAGGCCAGATAAAATGGGTTTGAGAGCCAGATTTGGCCTGCGGGTCTTCAGTTTGACATATTTAGTCTATATGTTAGTAAACATGAGTTTTAGTGCAGATAAAATATATATATATGCTGGTCTTTGAATATATTGAGAGGAATAAAACACTGACAAAATTAAATTTATTTCCAAAGACTATGATTTTTCTGTGTTACTTTTAAAGTATCTTTGGAGTGTTAACGTCTGACACATTTCTCTCTCAGATTCTGTTTGGACTCTGCTCGTCAGACCCGTCAGCGCCTTTCCATCAACTGGTCCAACTTCAGCTTGAAGAAAGCTACATTTGCTGCACATTGAGTGCTTTGGCACCTATCAGAACACAAATCAGTTTAACATCTATACAAGCCCACCTCCAACCCCTCYGTCCCTGCCCCCGTGACCTCGGCCTCACAGACGTTTTCTCTGGCTGTTCCCAGATCGCACCCACGCTGCCTTGCTTTGTTCCTGTCCCTGTGTGGTAACACCACACATCCATCTGGACTGATCCACCTGCAGAAATTAAATTAAATATAGCAAAAAGAATCACAAAATGCTCCTTGATTATTTTTTCGTGCGTGCTTGTGTGCTTTTAGTCATAAGTTGGATGTTTCTTTTGACTGAACTAGCCATGGTTTGAAACTTGTTCTTACACTGGCTTTACCTGCAGTCAAAAGATGTTCATTATGTCTGGATGGATTCCCTTCTTCAAAATAAAGAAAATAAATAATGGAAATTATAAAACAAGAATATTAAGAATTAAAGCTGTATTTGAGATACTGTGGCTTACGATCATGTTCTTCGTCTAGTCCAAACGACTGACAAGGGAATGGGCTCGGTCTGCTGGTTTCCACCTCCCCCTGCCCCCACCTCCTCCACCCTGTTTCACAGAAAGGAGGAGGAAGCTGTAATACTTGACAATTTTCTCTTTGTTTTACGTTCTGTTTAACAAACTGTTCAGTAAAAGTGTATCAGTTACAGATTTATTTTTTTGTTTTCTTTTCTTTATTCTGACATGTAGCCGACTTGTATCAGAATACTTTCAGAGTTGGAAAAAAAAAGAACAGTACTCACACTATTGGTCTGTTATAGAGTGTATATTGTATTAACACTGAAGCCGAACTGGCTACTTTTAACATATTGTTAAGTAATATTAAATCTTGTCTTTCTTTTTTGAAAGATGGAATACAGTAGTATGGCAGGCCTATGTGTCTTGTGTCAAATCTTATTTTCTGCACACAATTAAAAAAAAATGTCAAGACAGTTTAAACATGCTAGTTCTTTTCTGAGTTAGGTTTAAAAATTAGGTCTCATTTATGCATGAAATGAAAGCAGCATTGAGTTAGCATAAAGATAGAAAAAGGGGGAACTAATAAAATTCTGCTGCTGTTAAAGTGTTKGCTTAAATGTCAAAACACTTGTTATATTTATGTGCACGGGTGCTCTAACTGAGGGGGAGGGCAGGGGCACGATGGCCACCCATAAAAAGATAAAAATTGTGACTTTTGCCCAGACAGTTTCACCCTCRAGTCATAAACTTTTGCTTTGAGTGTATTTTTAATTTCTCGTAGCTATTTAGGATTAGTTAAACCTCATGAATATAAAAACAAGCATAGTTTTTGAGCAATCGGTAGGTAAAGGTATGAAGATTTTATTTAAAAATATTAATAAAACCTAAAGTCTAGACAATTTTTTTTTAATTTAAAAAATGTCTTCAACATGATGAAGGGTCTTGGGAGGTTATATGCATCATAATTTTTTTCWGAATATAAATTTAGGACTGGATGAAGCTTCAGTAAGTTGAGTAGTGACTGATTTTTTCAGTTATAGTAAGGTGTGAACCAAAAGAGTTAAAGTTGACCTGTGTGAGTCAAGGTGATTCCCAGCTGCCATAAACCAGTTCATTATTTTTCAGGTAGGACATCCGTGCACGCACTCTGGAAACCTGTAGGACTTTAATTTGCTCCAAGGGAATTTCCTGTTTGCACATTTACCAGCCCAAGAACTGATGGACGTTTTGCCACACAAAAAATGATGTTTACTTCCTGGAAGWACGTCATCATGTTTTTATGTATTGCATTTGTTAAATAACCTATATAGGACAACATACCAAAAATGAAAATTCTGTTTCAGCTTTTGGTTTTGGTTTCACTCAAGTTGTCCCCAGAGGTACAAAAAATACTTAATAAACTAAGTAAACGTAAAAATACCTTAACCGAAAATGACTAGTAAAAATTAATTTCACTAATGTAAAAGTCACAAAACTGCTCACAATAACTGGGAAAGTAAAAGTACTTTTACACACAAGCTAAATTGAGCAGTGCAAATTGCTTTATGTTCACGCAGCTCGGTTTAGTGGAACCAGTTGACATAACTTGGTTAAGTAAATTAAACACTTCATTTTTTTAGAGTGTATAAACAACTCCTTTCATGATGGGTACATATACATATTTAAATTTGTAATGTGCAAGTAGGTGTTAAATTTTAAAGCAAAGAAAAGTATAATTTTCATGATTTAAATGTAACAAAATGAAAGTAAAAGTTACGATTAAAAAAAACTTGGTAAAATTGCAAATCCAAATAATTACTCAAGCACTGTAACAAAGTAAACTACTTAATTAAGCAGCTCTGGTGTGCCGCTACTGCCTTTTAATGCAGTAGGTGGCTTTATATGTCCTATTAGTAGTTTTGTAGCCGCCTTCACTGTTTTTTTAGCAGCTGATGATGGCTTTGCCCTACTGGTATGAGAATAGTTTTAGGTTATTTATCTGAGTTAATAGTAACCCTTTAGGCTTGCATATTTAAGTTTTTAAAGTTTACCCTCCAAATGTAGGGTTTTTTATGAGCTGCAGGTAATATGGGAAACACTGGTATAGTCATTCATAAGGCAACAGTACAATTTTCTTGACACATATTTGGTTTTGCCTAAAATTAATGTATTATGTATAGAAAAGAGCAAGGAAGTTCTAGTAAATAAAGTGTGATTAGTGAAGAGCTAAACATGTTTGTGTTTATCCAGTCGATGGCAGGCTAAACTAACTAGAGGCCAACTGATGACTAAGGTCACTCGTTTAAAAGAGGGTCATCAATCATCACTTAACGTGCATATTTCCTACCAGCAAGCTTCAGTGTTATCGGTTCCATTCAAGAGAAGTAACCATCAGCAGTGCTTACACAATGGCAGGGATTTTACCTAATGTTACTCTTTTGAGGTTACAGTAAGAGTCACTCATTCATAAAGAAGTTCCTTTTGGGAAATCCTTCAATCAATCACAAGGAGCTTTGGAGATGAGTCCCACAGTTCAGTTTCAGTTGCGAAGTACATGAAAACAGAAGACAGCTGTTTTTCAGACTGCGTTAGGTCTTCACATTATTAGGGGTCCAAGCCCGAGGAAGCAGGGTAACGCAGCTGCAAAGCAGCAGCGTTTCCATGTCTCCATCGGAGCATGGAACCCTATTGTATC